GGGGGCATGCCCCCCAGGAAATTTTTGAAAAAATGCTGCAATTTGGTGCATTCCAAGCTATTTTGAACACATTGTATGAGACTCTTGCATCTCTTTTTCAAGTTGTCAAAAGTTTCGTCAGTGAGGCGGTGTTTTGGACAAATTTCTGTGTGGCGGCTGAGAATTTGAGCGAGGTGGTGGCCCGCCTCACTCGTGTCAATGCTTTTATCGGGGAAACACTGAGGCCTATAGTGCCTGTTCCGGCTAGACACCAGCAAAGCATAAATGTGAACCGGTGATCGAAACAAACAAAGACAAAAATTCACGAAAACAAAACTTTATTCTTGTCTTCAACTAGAATCGTCGTCAACCATGTCAAACTCAAGACTCACGCACGTTAGAATTAATTCCTCGTTAATCGATAAACGCTCGTTAACACCGAATAGCGGCGAAAATCTCGCTGCAAAGACTACGGCCATCGGAAGCACTGCAATTAAAACCTAAATGTCGATGTATTCCATGTCATTGCAATTCAGTTTCTAGCAACGTTCACACAAATACCTACCGTTATGTGGAAATATCGAAATTCGTGTCTACCCAAGATAGCAGTTATCTACTGACAGCATTGACATGGACTAGAATCGATAGAATAGAAACCGGGGCGACGATTCGATAAATTTTTCTACACATTTGCCTGTCTATTACATCAAGTCAAGCGTTGCCCTATCAAGTTGCTAGTCAAGCCTATCTCTGCCGTTTATTTTAATTATCAATGACCTTAATTGCTTACCAGTGGTAATTTTTCTACACATTCGCGTGTGTCTATTACATGAAGTCAAACATTGCAAGGAAGCCCATCTTTATCATTTATTAATCGTTAATCAATCGCCCTAATTGCTAATTAAACTAATTAACTAAAGCAATTGCTAAGCTTACCAACGGTCTGCTATACTGCGGTGTGTCTATCGGTACGACACTGATTAAGGTATGCACCCAGCGAAGCGATACATGTGCTTTGGCCTAAACATGCGCCGTAACGTCGTAAACTTACACACACGACGGCGCGGTGAAATACAGACCACGCTCCAATTATAATATTCAGACGGCGAGATTAACAGCTGAACCCAATCAAAGTGCAATCTCGAAGAAACGACACTACTTTGACATCATTTTGCTGCACCAACGTAATAAGAACTCGCTATTAGTATACCATGTTTAGAATAGCGTCCTCAGTCTTACACGACCGTTCACCGAACAATGCGACTGTTCAATGAAGAATGTGACCGTTCGACGAACAACACGACTGTTAAATGAACAACGTGATTGTTCAACGAACAACACAAATGTTTCACGAACAATGCGACCGTTCTACGAACAACACAACTGTTAAATGAACGTAAGAAGGTTTCGCCACGGGACGTCGCGGCCGCGATCGTCGCAAACCTCCCGCGGAACGACGTGACAGAGGAAGGCGCGGAGGTCGCCGGACCGGGGTTCGTGAACGTGCGTCTGCGTCGTTCGTTCGTCGCCCGTCGCCTCGCCGACGCGCTCGCCCGCGGACCCCGCGCTCCGGCCGCGCGCCGCCTCCGCCGCGTCTGCATCGACATGTCGTCGCCGAACGTCGCCAGGGAGATGCACGTCGGCCATCTTCGGTCGACGATCATCGGGGAGGGAGTAGCCCGGCTGCTCGCGTTCGTCGGACACGAGGTCGAGAAAGTCAACCACGTCGGCGACTGGGGGACACAGTTCGGGATGCTCATCGCTCATCTCGCCGATTGTTTCCCCGACTACAACTACAAGACCTCTCCCCCGACACCACTTCCTATTGCCGATTTGCAGTCGTTCTACCGCGAGTCGAAGGTGCGGTTCGATAAGGACGAGGAGTTCAAGCGGCGCGCGTACGCGGAGGTCGTGCGGCTTCAGCGCGGCGACGCGGACGCGACGCGCGCGTGGAGTCTCATCTGCGACGTGTCGCGTTGCGACTTCGAGCGGATCTACGAGCGCCTCGGGATCTCGGACCTCGTCGAGCGCGGCGAGTCGTTCTACCAGTCGCGCATGGTCGACGTCGTGCGCGAGCTGGAAGAGCGAGGACTGCTCCAGGAGGACGAGGGACGCAAGATCATGTTCCCGCCCGGACGCCCGATCCCGCTCACCGTCGTCAAGTCGGACGGAGGCTACACGTACGACACGTCGGACCTCGCGGCGATCCGGCACCGCATCGTCGAGGACCGCCGCGACTGGATCGTGTACGTCGTCGACAGCGGACAGGGAGTGCACTTGGAGAACGTGTTCGCGGGGGCGGCGATGGCCGGCTGGTACGACCTGGAGCGGGAGCGCGTGCAGCACGTCGGATTCGGCGTCGTCCTCGGCGACGACCGGAAGAAGTTCAAGACGCGCTCCGGCGCGACGGTCCGCCTCAGCGATCTCCTCGACGAGGGGGTGAGGCGGGCGGACGCGAAGCTCCGCGAGAAGGAGCGCGAGAAGGCGTTGACGGAAGAGGAGCTGAGGAGGGCACGGGACGCGATCGCGTACGGGTGCATGAAGTACGCCGACCTCTCGCACTGCCGCACGAACGACTACGTGTTCTCGTTCGACAAGATGCTGGAGGACCACGGAAACACGGCCGTCTACCTCCTCTATGCGCACGCGAGGATCAAATCGATCGCGCGCTCGGCCGGGGTGGACGTCGCCGCGGAAACCGCGCGCGGCACCTCCGTGTCGCTCGCTCACGAGCGGGAATGGCGGCTCGCGAAGACGCTACTGCTGTTCGGCGAAGTCGTGGCGCGCGCCGCCGACGATCTGATGCTGCATTCGATCTGCGAGTACATGTACGACATCGCCTGTCGCTTCTCGGAGTTCTACGAGCGCTGCTACTGCATCGAGCGTCGGGAGGACGGGACGGTCGCGAAAGCGCAGTCAACGTGGGACGCGTGCTGCTGTGCGAGGCGACTGCAGCCACCCCGGTCGCGTGCGCTGCTCCACAGTCCGTAGGCCATCCGACTGCCGTAGACAAAGGATGTGAGGGCGACACCCTCCACCGGCTCTCGAGCTGCGCTGGCTTCTACATCCTAGGCCATCGACGGGCCAGGCTAGACAAGATTGAGGGCGACCGGCCTCCACCTACGCTCGCGCTGCTTCCACAGTCCTAGCATCGACGCGCACCAGCGCGATACGACAGAGATCGTGAGGTGACGCGCCCCTCCCGACCTCCGACTTGCTTGGCTTCACACGTGCCTAGCCATCGACGGCCGTAGACAAGATGCTGAGGCGGCCGCGTCCCAAGCTCGCTCTGCTGTTTCGCACATCCTAGCCAATCGAGACGTCATCGCGTAGACAAGATGTGAGGCGACGCGCCTGGCCACCCTCCGCTCGCGTGGCTTACCACATCCTAGCCATCGACGCGCGACTCGGAGACAAGATGTGCAGCGACCGACCTGCGCCACCCCTCGCTGTCGCTGGACTCCACATCCTAGGCCATCGACGCCGTAGACAAGATGTGAGGAAGGACCTGCCTCCACCCTCAGCTCCGCTAGCTTCTACATCCATAAGACCATACTCGCCCTAAGACGCCGAATAGACAAGAATATGGGCAGGCGACGGAGAATGCCGCACGACCCTAGCGGAGAGAAGAAGCGATCTGAAAAGTCATGATTCATTAGGTTCGCACAGTGCCTTTCGAAAAGGTCCTTGAATTTGAGGGGAGTACCCTTCGAAAGAGTACATTGAATATTAGTAAATGTTCGATTTTGTTGGCTATGAAAATGTCCTTGAATTTCAGCGAAAATGTCCTTGAACTTTTAGAAAGAGCACACATTGCCTGGTAGATACAAAAGAATATTTTGTACCAATCAATAATAAGTGCAAACGGCTCAATAAAAATAATATCGCGTTTATAGCTTAAAAACGCCTATAGACCACGATAGACGAGTTGAATGATGATCACGAATATTAAGTATAGTTCAGTAAAATCAGGTCAGTAAAATCCAAAGGTATGTTGTAAGAAGTGACAGTGTTTATGAAGGGTTGTCATTATGATGACAGGTAAGTTTTTAAGAAGAGGTGACATGCAGTGATCTTAAACGAAATGGGGCTTATTAAATTAACTCAGGGTATGTTTTGTTCTGTGTATGAATTCCGAATAAAATGCCTGATAAAATGTCCTTGAATTTCCGATAAAATGTCCTTGGAAAAGTCTTGGAAAAAATCTACAGTCGCTCCTGCTGATTAAAAAACATGTAAGGCGCCACGCGCGCCACGCCCGACGCGCAGGACACGATAGAAATGACGCGGTTTGAGGTGTTTTGCACAGCGCGCGCGAGTAGCGAAAGATAGAAATGACTGCGATGTGGACACGATGTGACGGCTTCTCCACCTATGGTTGGCCATGCGTCAGCCTGAAAAAAAATTTGTACTGCAGGCCTAAATGATCTTTTACGCAACGGATAAATTATGTGCGACGAGGCCCCGTGGTTGGGTACGAAAAGCGGCTAATTGTCTACCTGCAATAACAAGAAAAGATGTGAGGTAGTCCCCCGCGTGCGAAAGAATAGAAACAAAATAGAACAACGCCGACGACGTAATGTTAAGGCATCCCACCCGCGTAACTGCGAGCTGTTCCGTAGTATTTGGTTTTTCTTTCGCGCGCTCGCAGTAGCTATATATGACGTATTAACGTCGCAACGATGTAAAGACTATTTGTAATAAATTCATTTGATTTAAATTAATGAAAACACAAGTTCTCCGCCGCGAGATAATGTTTACTGTCTTTACGGTCGCCAACGCCACCGATCCCGTGTTGCTTGGCCGGCGGATTTGAAGTTTTACTAGTGAATAGAAAATAAAAATGGCAATTCTCCGAAACAAAGCTTATCATTGCTTCATTGTTTGAAGATGGAAGTGAACGGGCTCACGTGTGAGTGTCACACGTATGTGTATGCATGCACGTGAAGAGGAGAGTGCATGTGATATCGGCTCATTATATAAATTTTACACGCGACTATAAGCGCGCTGTGTGATGCATGAAACGCGTCAGCAAATCTGGGCTTTACCAACCGACAATTAGCGTAGGTCCAACCATCCGCAGATGAAGACGGGATACCAGAGAAGTGTTCCTGAGCAGGAATGTGTTGATCCGCTAACCGCTGAGCAATGGATCTTGCGCAGAGTCCGCGGAAAGGCGCACGCGGCCAGCCATATATATTCCGATTCTAAGGTATAGTATACTTAGTATATCATGATGATTATGTATTATATTATGCGTTTATTAGTATTTCTTGTCATCTTTGTACATTTCCTTTCAGATAATTCTCTTCACCCAAAAGCATTACCCGAGCCTGCGCTCAAAGTTGCCTTCAGTCCGCTTCTCACTACGTGGGGGAAAAGGGTATATGAAACAGACCCTAGGTTTCCGCTGGCCAAAAAAAGTCTGTGAGGTGGTAAATGTTTTTTTTTGTGATGTCTTTTGCGCGTTTCGAGGTCCCTAGCAAAGCGAGCAATGCACAGGTGCTGGCCCAAGCCTAGGGGGTCCGGGGCCAATGCCCCCCAGGAAATTTTGGCAAAAAATCTGCGCAATTTGGTGGCATTTCCCAAGCTATTTGAACACATTCGTATGAGACTCCCTGGGCATCTCGTTTTTCCAAGGTTGTCAAACGTTTCGTTCAGTGAGGCGGGTTGTTTTGGACAAATTTCTGGTGTGGCCGGCTGAAAGAATTTGAGGCGAGGTGGTGGCCCGCCTCACTCGGTGTCAATGTTTTATCACGCGCCTCAGCGGCGTATATGCGACCGCCGACGTAGCGCCGCCCGACGGCGCAACTTCTCGCGGCGGAAAAAACGGAAGCACGCGCGTAGCAATAAACTCGAGAACGAAATTGCTACCAAGGACGTTATAACGCCGAAGCCTAAGCGGGAGACGATGTACCGAGAGAAAATGATAGGCCAGTCCAAGGCCGGCATGTCTCGGAGTCCGGAGGACGCTGTGCCCGCGATAGGTCACACAAAGCAGATCGGTAGAAGGACAAAAGATCGGATCATTAATCTAGAACATGATGCGTGGGAAGTGCAAACGCGATGGGTATCCAGTGCGATTTAGACAGACCGTCTCCGACGAGATTACGAGCGGTCAAGCTTTGATGTAGCGGACTCGGAGGTGGCCCAGCCTCAATGCTCTAGGCGCGGATTCCCCCACCGGCCGTGATTAGAATGTAGGGGGCCGTGCCTGGTGTGCTGATGGGGCAGTGCGCGTGGCGCAGACCGGGCGAAGCGATCGTGGGAGGCGGGAAGGAACCGTAGAGTAGGTCAGGACGGGGGATGAGTCGTCCAGCGGGGGCAAGGCAGATGACGCGGCGCGCCCCGGCACCCAGGGCACCGTCGACGCGCGGCGCGACCGGACCGACCGACGCCCGACCCCGTGACCGGGCACGGTAAGTCGAGGACCAAACCGAAACTTATGGAAGTAAGTTTGTCCTGATGGCTCCGCTGAGGACTGTTGGTATGGGCGAGGCGCCCCACCACGCGACAGCTGGCCAGGTAGTGTGCCTGCGTCTCACATGAACGGAGAGATCATCTGGCTCGCCCGAGCAGCTCTGCGACCAGGAGTAGCCGCAAGGCGCATCCTCTCGAAAGCCCGCAGCTCTCGCACTAGTGGGCGCCCGTCCACTCAAGGGGTACCGATAGCGCGCAAGAAGGGATGTGCGCAGCTGAGTAATTGCGGGAGCCGACTCGTCGCGCGGGAGAGCGGGAGGGGGCGCAGATGCTTGATGGAGTAGCGAGGGCAGGGACCTGCGGGGCTGGGCCGCGGGGATCAGGGGATGTCGCACGCAGACCACACGAAGTTCAATTAGTACGCATTGTGGTCTCGAGGAAGGAGACGAGAACGCCTGAGAGTTTCGAGGATGTGCCAGGTCAGACTGTCCGAGCGGCCGATTAGCCGCGCGACGGCGCCGCGCAACCGGCGCGCTGGCGTGGTAGATCGACGACATTCCGATCGTTAGCCAGAAGACTATGATGCGAGACAGCTGTCTGCACATTGTTCCTTATGCCCGATTGAGGGAACGGTTGGTACAGGGCGAACGGCCGGCGTGAGGGAATGTCCCAGCGCAACGCCGGCCCCGCGGACAATGCGCCTCGGGATCGCCTGAAAAAGGCGGCTGCGGAGGGCGTTGAGCATACGGCCTCCCGTCATGGGTGTCGAAGGAGACCAGGAGCACGGGAGGTCCGTCCTTTCCAAAGGGCACGAGAGTCGACTTGGCCCGGCACGAACGGCATGATTCTCCCGAACGGGCGGGGCACGGGCGCGCGCGAAGCAGCTAGCTGTAGGTTCCAGCCACACACAGACGGGTCGTCTAAATCGCTGGAAGAGTGGATGCGGCACTTAGCGCGGGCGCAGAGAATTCAAGCAGAGCTGCCCGGGCAGCAAGGGACGCGCGACGGCAGAGCAACCTTGGGCGGGGCGCAGGCACCAGGGAACGATAGATGGCTGAAAAAGGAGCGAAGGAACGGCCCGGGAGTCCGATGAAGGGATGGGAGAAAGATTCGAGCCCGTGTGGAGCGCGACGTGACTGCAGACGAGAAATGGGTATTGGGCGGGGTGCCCGAGTCGTAAATGCGAGAAGTGAGCCGGTGGTAGGTGGCGCGAGGTGGGATGATAAGACTACGCGGAAGCTTCCTGAAAGTGCGCGGGGCCTAGCGGTGCCCACAGATCGAGAGGAAGCGGTCGATCGACCCATACAACGGCGGCGCGGGGCTGCTCTAGAGGGTGTACGGGGGGTCGG